CAATAAAAGAAAAACAAAATATTTACTAATGTTGATTACTTGGAAACAAATGTAGGAATGTTACTGCGGTAAAAATCAAATCCATTCTGAGCAATTAATTATTTGCTTTACATGGAGACAATGCGTTAGAAAATGCATGGTCTGCAATTTTATTTAATAAAAAATTTAATGGTATCAAGCGCGTACTGGGAGACGTAGCGTGGGTAGGCCTCCCACAAGGTGGGCCGACGACCTATTGAGGTTCGCGGGGATCCGCTGGATGCAGGCAGCGCAGGACCGGTCTTTGTGGCGAGGCTTGGGGGAGGCCTATGTCCAGCAGTGGATGTCCATGGGCTGATAGAATAGAATAGAATAGAAAGCGGTGTATCATGCAACGGTATCAGTATCATACTAGCTAATATATCTTATTTTTTTCGGCATTCGCAAGTCAAAAACATACTTGAAGCTACAATTAGAGCGTAATCTAGCTATCGTCCGTGTTCACGAAAACTGTAAAGTATTGAAAATATTTGAAATAATTGAATTAAAATAAAATACCCATTTTCGCAATTTGACAATAGATGGCGTTACGTTGACGGTGTCCTGGATATTTTTAAAAGGCGCGCGTCAGAATTTTGACGTCACTACTCTCATCCTTTGGGCGGTCGCTCATGCTCGGCCAAGTAGAAACTTGTTTACCTGTAGACGATTATTTCTATTTTAACAATATTCAAGAGGCGCGTCCACTCCGGCGGGTCGCATTCGATGTTCCATTCTCCGTCCTATTTTTACTGGTGGTAGGACGTCTTGTGAGTCCGCACGGGTAGGTACCACCGCCCTGCCTATTTCTGCCGTGAAAAGCGTAATGTAATGTAAATGTAAGTAATGCGTTTCGGTTGAAAGGCTGGGGCAGGCGTTGTACTGTAAGAACCGAGACCTTAGAAGCCGTATCTCAAGGTAGGCGGTGGCATTTACGTTGTAGATGTCCATGGGCTTGGCTAACCTCTTAATATCAGGTGGGCCGTGAGCTCGTCCATCCATCTACGCAATAAAAATAAAAAGTGTTTATACTAAGGGCTAATCCACATTACGCGGGTAATCGTAATAGGCGACTTGCAGCCTGATGCGGTTGCGAATGAGGCCAACTGTATTGTTAGTGACCGCATAAGTATTTGAAGAAGCAAGGCTTAATAAATTGGGGACCGTCGTAAGCTGAGCTGTATGTACACTGTGAGTAACAACCGTCCGGCTGGCCGTCATTCCGGTCGCACCCCTCTAAACTAAGTGTTCTCGCTTGCGGTCAGCCGTAGGGACCACATTGTGTGTAACCACATAGTGCGCATCAGCCCTAAAGCTAAGACCCGAAACTAAAAGTTAGTTGCGGTTGCGGGTAACTTGAGTTGTATTGTTACGTCGGTAAGAGTAACGCCATCTATCGCCGAATAGCCGCAACGTATATCAAATAATATAGGAACATCTAGAACGCTCGAGAAGTACAACGCCATCTATTGTCAGATAGCGGAAGCACACATCGAAAGTGCTCGACTTGTGAGGAATGCTCTCGACAGTTCTAGGGCTGTCGTAACTACTATAAAAGCGTTGCAGAGATAGCACGCAGTCAGTCAGTAATCGGAACTACTCGAAGCGAAACAGCGTACGGATCACCTGAAGCGAAGAGGAAGAAGTGAATTGAGAGTTTTAAAGTGTTTGTTAAGTGTTTTGAGTGTTCTAAGTGTGAATACAGTTCCAATATATACTTCGATAGAATTTTTGACGTGACAACGTCTTATAATTCGATGGAGCCGGCTGCACGCACGAAAAAACATGACTCATTGTAGATATGTGTCGTTCGCGAACGAACGAATCAAACGACCCGGGTCTCAAAATCCGCGCGAACGATAGGGTCACTTCAAAAAATATGAGTCGTTCACTAGATCGACTCGTTTAACAAAACCTACGAATCAGAAGAAAAGAACCATACGACAGTCATTCTCGTATCGGGTTGCCGCGTCTCGCACCGCGCCCGTCTCGCACCGCGCCCGTCTCGCTTAGTCGTTCGTTGTCACTTAATGACGCATAACGCATTTGAATTGTTTTGATCTCACGTAAACAATCGAACTATAAAAGTTCCTTTAAACTGAACGTTCGACTGAACGGGTCGTACGAACCGGATCATTTCGTCAACAGGTCAGTACTGATCTGAATCTTTAAAATTGAACGAACGACACATATCTAACTCATTGAGGTGTTCCATTTAAGGCTTGAAGTGCAAGCGAGAGCGCGCAACGAGCGACAAAGAGGCACAATCGGCCTCCGCGTTCGGCAGCGTTCGACATCTGTCTCTCTCCTGCTTGAGTGAGCGATGCATCCGCGTGGACAGCTGCACTATACAATAATACATTTATATGTTTTCGTCAAGTATGAAGTTCAGTGAAAAGTGAATGTGGTGTCAATTGTCCATACAAAATATCTATCAAACAAATAAAATTAAGTTTTTCTTTTGAAAAATGAAACCATTCCGTCCATCAGTATTTTCTTATGAGGTTGTCACGTTCAACTATCGTCAGTAAACCGACTTTACAGACAACCGATTTTTTTTATTTATTCCGAACCCCAGCGCGTAACAGTTTGCTTAACAAACTACCCTCAAATGGCTCAAGCTTTAACGTACAAATAATAAACTATTCGTCCTCGCACCGACATATATAATTAGCTCATCAAGGCTTATGTCACGTAAGCGTTTGTCCACCAGTCTGAACTAATAATAAAACGCCACAGTCCATGAATTGGACCAAAGGAAATTCTCTTGTACGAAATGTGACTGCACTCTGGCACGTCGCCAGTGTACGAGTCCGTTTATTACTGATTAACCCATTCCGCACTCGTTAACTCATATCACAGTGTCATTGCTTATGATATCACATCTGTATCGTGCCCTTAAAGGGTAATAATGGCCCGTTATTGTGATGTGATACGTATCTATGTGATGGACTTCATGTTGTAATACTATTTTCTTTTTTGGTTTTGGTATTTCAGTCAAAGAAATGTCGTTGAATATAAATTGTATAATACATTGTCTCTTGTCTTTGAGACAAAGCGGTTGTGCGTTTGAAGGCCGAAAGAGCCTTTTTACAATTTAAAACGACCTCAAACCTCAAGGTGGTTGTTCGAAAAGGGTTTTGATCATGTGGCGGTAACTTAAATTAGGTTACTGATTATCTACGGATGCAGATTTTAATTTGAAACTGCCGCAATATTATACTCAACGAACACACAGATATTAGAGACAACAGATGATTTTTTTCTATAAATATCTGTATCACTGATCGATTTACCAATTTCAAAATAAAGTCGCTATTATTATTAATTTGCTGAAACAATTGGGCAAAAGAGTATATTGGCGTAATTTTTGCTAATGAGTTATTTTCGCGACTCTGGTAACCATACTCGTCGGGTTCGACGTGCAATCTAATCCATACATCAGCCCGCTGAGTTTCTCACCGGATCTTCTCAGGTGGTCGCGATTCCGATCCGGCAGTATATTTATTCGCGAAGCAGCTGCCCTTGAGCGGTTAGGTCTCCTTCGGAGGCACTCAGACAGCTGTTAGCAAATCCCACTCCGCCTGGCTGAGCCAATTGTTCGCCCACCTGTCCTGGTGAAACTGGAAAGACCTAGGGGTCTTTATTAAAAAAAAGTTTTATTTTCGTTCTAAAGAAGCAGTCCAGTTTACGGCCCACCCGTTGTAAAGAAGTAGACGGGGTTCGTGGTCATTCACATACGAATTCCTATATGTATCTTGTGGGCATCATGGTCCCGTACCACAGATACAGTTATGGCTGCGGTACCAACTCGAGTGGCCCTTATTGTCGTTATCGGTTTGGTTTTCAGCGCGAAACTCTATCGCGCGTACCAAGTTCGTTTTTATCTATAAAATAAATAATAGTTTAAAAAAACTAACAAAGTACGCTTTTATAGAAAGTCCAAATAAAAAATAGAAAATAAATTTTAATAAATTTGAATTAAAAATAGTGTGAGAAAAAATGATTTTATTGTAAAAAAGCGTGGGGTGCATGGTATCAATCATTATAAATTATAAATATTTTATGAACAGATATGAGTAGAAGGGTTATTTTGATAATATCCTGAAAAGCGCACAATGAAATTATTTTTCTTACACTATTTTTAATTCAAATTTATTAAAATTTATTTTCTATTTTTCAATTGGAATTCTCTATAAAAGAGTATTTTCTTAATTTTTTAAACTATTATTTACTTTCATTTTTTAGTTAAATTCAATAAATTTTTTGTTTTTAATTTTTTTTTAATATTGAATTGCCATCAGTCCTTAATAAGTATACCAAATTTCGAGTTAATCCGACGTTTTGAAGGGGTTCATAATCATGTTCAAATATTCCGTTACATACATACATTTTTAAAAAAGTCGTCGTGGCCTAAAGGATAAGACGTCCGGTGCATTCGTGTTGAAGCGATGCATCGGTGTTCGAATCCCGCAGACAGGTACCAATTTTTCTAATGAAATACGTACTCAACAAATGTTCACGATTGACTTCCACGGTGAAGGAATAACATCGTGTAATAAAAATCAAACCCGCAAAATTATAATTTGCGTAATTACTGGTGGTAGGACCTCTTGTGAGTCCGCACGGGTGGGTACCACCGCCCCGCCTATTTCTGCCGTGAAGCAGTAATGCGTTTCGGTTTGAAGGGTGGGGCAGCCGTTGTAACTACACTGAGACCTTAGAACTTATATCTCAAGGTGTGTGGCGCATTTACGTTGTAGATGTCTATGGGTTCCAGTAACCACTTAACACCAGGTGGGCTGCGAGCTCGTCCACATATCAAGGCAATAAAAAATAAAAAAATAAAATACTGTTACATACTAACATACATACGTCTGAAGCTAATAAAAGCGTATTAAAAATGGGAATTGCTTGAAACTCAAGTCAAGCGTCTTCACGCTACATACTGCAGAAAGGTTTAATTAGTTGTTTTCTTGCAGTGACGAAACAAAGGATGCCGACGGTCGAGCCCGTTCAGAATCCGGAGACACCGATTCAGTTTATCACGTACGAGGAGTGCTACACGACCACCGATGGAGAGAATCTAAGGTATGACAGTCTTCTGAGAAATCGTCTAACCTAATCTTTTTACTGGCGGTACGACCTCTTGCGAGTCCGCACGGGTAGGTACCTCCACCCCGCCTATTTCTGACGCGAAGCAGTAATGCGTTTCGGTTTGAAGGGTGTGGCAGCCATTGTAACTATACCTTAGAACTCATATCTCAAGGTGGGTGACGGCATTTACGTTGTAGATGTTTATGAACTCCGGTAACCACCTAACACCAGGTGGGCTGTGAGCTTATCCACCCATCTATGCGATAAATAAATAAAAACTGTATAGATTTATTTATCTCAAACTCAGACTAACATTCAGATTTGACTTAAATCCACAACCCACGGATGAAACTTAGGTCGTTAACTCGAAGTGAGTGGGTGGTTTTCACGTTGTCTGTGACCGCCGACCCATCTCGAGCAATTAAGCAGTTCCTTCTATCCTTGAAAAGTTTCTTTGAAAATTGTAGTATGGAGATTCGCGTTCTAACTTAATCTGTTCAAATTGTCAATAGTTGTCGCTAAAAATTACATTATTTCCACAACGTAAAGTTAACGTTAACGTTGAAAATCTAAAATAACTTAAATTACGTATTAAATTATTAATATAATGATATAGTACACATTTATTACTAATCAGTATAATTAAAGTAATTTTAATTTAATTAAAGTAATGTGGTTACATTAATCCTAAATATACAACTTATTATATTAAATACTAAGATAACTTAAGTTCCGTATTAAATTATTAATATAATAATGTATATAATATACCAATCAGTATAATTAAAGTAATTTTAATTTAATTAAAGTAATGTGGTTACATTAATCCTAAATATACAACTTATTATATTAAATACTAAGATAACTTAAGTTCCGTATTAAATTATTAATATAATAATGTATATAATATACCAATCAGTATAATTAAAGTAATTTTAATTTAATTAAAGTAATGTGGTTACATTAATCCTGTTATAAATATACAACATATCATATTAAATATAAGTGTAATACTTGTATTATCATTAGACATGTGACGGGCAAAGCTTCTTCCTTAAAGCTTTGAGATTAAGCTGTAATTATGAGTATATGGATAGATACAGACAAAGAGGGAGGAAATCATTATTAACACGTCGAACATTTAATGAAAGAACGACAATTACAATCGGTTACATAGTGACGCTAGAGATATTCAAAATATTACAATTCACATGAGGATTTTGAATGAAGAAAGTGAAGAGGCAAACGTTCTTTTGGACGACCACTGGCTAGGTGTACCGAAAACTGGAGTCAGTACCAATCGGGAGAGGCCCGAATACTTTTAATTGTCACGCGTAGCTTAGTAGGCTCCAACATCAAACATCTGTTACAAGCAAGACTCACACTTTATTGGGCCGAAAGTGAATTCCCGGGGGGACTATCAGCCGGAATTAATGGCCTGGCTATAAGTAAGCTATAAGCGTTTATCGTATTATGTAGAAACGATATGTTCAAAGCCTTATTCATCTGAGGCATGTAGAGTTAGAAATAAATTACGCTCAAACCTTCCTAACGACATTTATACGTTGATGAATGATACATGTTTACAACACACTGAGTTTCTCGCCGGATTTTCTCAGTAAATAGCGATTACGGTCCGGTGGTAGATTCGGCTAAGCACTGCTCTTGCTAGGGCCAGTGTTAGCAACGCTCCCGGTTTGCGCCCCGTGAGCTCACTTACTCGCCCGGTTACGCCGACATAGCCTCTCAAGGATCAGCTTAGACACAAAAAAAAACCCAGCTCAAGCTAATAAAATGTGTCAAAAAGAATATAAATAATTATTTTAAAAACTTTACTGTTCGTTCTTTTTTTAATTTTTTACTGTTTTTCAGAACTTATATATGCAAGATACTTTGAAATTATCCTTAGCGTTATTCAGAATTTGATTTGTCAATAGAGTTCTGACTCGCACAGACTAAACACTAAAAAATTATCACACAAAAATGTAACGTAGGAGAAAAATGCGCAGCGATACACGAAAAAAGGCATTTAAGGCCACAACTCTCGCAGACACGTCGAAAAACAATACCATACGAAAACAATATGTCACGTACAAACTCTGTAGCACTTCACAAGCGAAATTATTGAACAAATACCGACATCTGGCGCGTCGTGCTCACCGCAGCACTATCGCCTATCTTAACGGTATAAGTGCTAAATTCGCGTGGCATATATTGGTGTCTGGACCTGTGCCAAGTGCAACGGCTAGTCAGAATCATTTGGCAGGGACTAGCAGACCAGAGCAAAGGCTGGTAATGATCGCCCGAAAGGAATGTTATTCTATAGAAGGCAGTGGTATCTTTAATAAAAAATCTATTTGAATTGTATTACTAAAAATCGTTATGGCGTAAGTAAATTTGCGTAATTATTACTGAGGCCTATTTGTGCTTCGAAGGTTTTTTTAGGTGGTGTTTTGTAGTCAAAGTCAGACTAGGCCCAACTAAAGTCACAAGCAAATACATGGCGCTCTAGTTTCGGTACCGTGCGATCCAGTTATTTCTTTTTTAATAACGTTCCTACTATCTGTAATTTCATGTTCATCACCAATGTTTTTCAAGAGATTACTTTTGCCAACCCCAATATAATGCTGACTTTTATTGTTATAGATGACTAGCCACTTGACCCATTGTTATTTGGTTATTTGGTTATTGGAGTTCATGAACATCAATCACGAGCTTAAAACCGTCACTGATCTTGAAACCACTTTAGCGGTTAGTGCAGTGATAGTAGAGATTATAGTCTGCATTCTTAAATATTTTTACAATTATCCTGTAGCCTTCCTGCGCTCGTCCACCGAAACGAGGGTGGGCGGTGGTGCGAGCGTGGTGCGTGGCCTGGTGGCATTCCGGAAGGGAAGACACAGAAGATACGGAGCCAGAGGAGGAACCATCAGACCCTGGCTACGCGACACCGGTTTCTGTAGAAACCCCTCTACAGAGCTCAGTTTCGAGGTAAGTATTTTAATTTCACTTGATGATGACCACTTTGCTCGTTTTTTTTTATAACGCCATCTTGTTGTGTCTTTAAAGCGGTTAGTTGCCCTCAGTTAAGAAAAATAATATTATTATTCGCCAATAGAGAAGATAGAAGAAGAAGATAGAAAGAGTCATAAAGTTGATTATCGATAAAGTTGATTATTGAAAACACGAATAAAACAACATTTTCTGAAAATAAATCGTAGCTAGATCGATTTATCGCCCCCGAAATCCCCTGTATACTAAATTTTATGAAAACCGTTGGAGCCGTTTCCGAGATCCAGAATAAATATATATATACAAGAATTGCTCGTTTAAAGGTATAAGATAAGGTAAGATTTAAAGATTTTGGTGTTCTTCACCTCATGTATATTACAATGTTACATTATATTTTTATGTTGGTTAATTAAATATACATAGCAAACTGGTCGTGGTTTCATTTGAAAACCACGTATTCGAATCACGGAGAGCTCAATGTCACAAACTTGTAATATTCTAGAATTATTGCACGGTATGGAAATGCCCGCACGTAGTTCAGTGGCTGAAGGCATGAATAAATAAACACATAATCCAATTTTCGAATTGAACTTGTGTCTATAAAAGTTTTACGGCTGGTTTAAAATGCATCCTTATTTTAACACTATCGGAATTTCAATAGGACCTACCCAGAGAAATTCCAGTTCTGAGAACGATACTTTCTGTGCAAAGCTTGTACCTACTAAATTCTGAGTAAATTTCATTGTATCAAATTGGCCAACGATATCAATTTCAATTGTTTAATTAGCTTTTCTGTCGACAGGTGCACGTCGCTTAATGTCATAAGAGATCCATACGCTACACGCGGTGGCTCGAGTGGCTCAGGAGATGGGGGCACATCCCCACTTCGTCGGACCTACGAACCCCCAGGGATGGTCACTTCGGCCAGGGACAGCAGATCTCTACCTCCGAACACACGAATTAACACAACTACCTCACCAGCGCCAAAGTCTGCTTCGGCCGACTCAGTTTACACCATAGTCATCAGACTACCGGACGCCGATACGGAAAGAGCGACAATTAAAATGATCACCGAAGAGTCGCCTCCGTCTATGGCTAGACCTCACTATCGGCCCACGAGAGGAGACTCCGAGCTAAACCTACATCCGGCCGGCCACGCGGCGCTGACGCGACGAACTTCACACATACAGGACGTTCGAATACCGCTCAACGCCAAAATCATACCTAAACAATTGGCTGGCAAAGGCTTGACCAAGCAACCAAAGAAAAAGAAGACGCAGGAAAAGAAACAGGAGACGAAAGCAGCCAAGACCCTCTCAGCCATCCTGCTGTCGTTCATCATAACGTGGACCCCGTACAACATCCTGGTGTTGCTGAAGCCTCTGACGGCTTGCACGAAATGCATTCCGGCCGAGTTGTGGTCGTTTTTCTACGCTCTCTGTTATATCAATTCGACTATAAACCCGGTGTGCTACGCGCTGTGCAACGCCACCTTCCGGAGGACGTACGTCAGGATCCTGACGTGCAAGTGGCACAACCGGAACCGGGAAGCGATGACTCGTGGGGTTTACAATTAGCGCGAGTTCGTGAGCTTGTGGTGGACCCACCGTTGGGTTCGGTGCCAAAATGAAATTGCCCAGTTTTGGTACTTGGATTTCAATGTACACCCAAATCCCATAACGTTGTCTAATATATGTATATCTTATTCTATTTTTTGGGTTAATTCGTTTAATTGATTCTGAAAAATTTTAAGGTACTTTTATTTATTTGGACTTTCCAACTTGAAAGTGATTTTAAAACTGTATTTTATTATTTTTAAGCACGTAGTGTCTGTCTATAAAAGCACCGAATAAATATGCGTGAGAAATAAATAAAATGACAAATAAAAAAATATATTAATAAAACACTTTTTAACGGAAAATTTTTAACACCTCAATAAACATGTCGATTTCAGTCATTTGGTAGTCTGTCCAGTTTATTGACAATGACGAACTTTAGTGTCCACACCGAGAGCTTTAGTTAGTTTGAGAATTAAACGTACAATGATTTCGTTAGTTTGTGACAAATTATTTTTAATTACCTTTATTAGTTAGTGATTTCACCGTCCCGTCCATTTGTAGATGTATATTAAAAATTATTTCATTGTTTACATAATTTTTTTGTTCATTATGTTTCCTCTGTTTTCTTTATTGTGTCCTTCGAAATTTTAATACCCGATGACTAACAATCAAATTCAATAATCAATTTTGAATCGGGAATAAATCAATTATTTTCATTCAAGTACATAAAAAAAAGGTTTCTTTAAGTTAAAACAAGAATTTAATTATTTTTTCGAAGACTCAATAAAGAAAAAAAATACACTGTTAAAAAAATTTTGATTCAATTTAAATAATGCTCTAAAAAATGTAAGGGTAACAAATATACTAAGTATTTTAGTATTAGTAACGAATAAATATGTAGTGGTAATTCTAGTCATTTGTACTTCTCAATCTTGGAACCTTAGGCTTTTTTGATAAATTTTATTTTAACATTGGTATTGGTTGCCTCACAATACTATATTATATACTTTAAGTCGTTGTTTATTTTATATATTTTTTATATTACGTTGTGTATTTATTACATTTTGATTTAAAATATTCCTTGAAGCGTATTTGCTCTAGTTTTGCTCAATTTTCTAAATTTTATATTTTCTCTTCAATAATTTCTTTTTAAATACTAAAGTAATATATTACATTCATCACGGAATTTTTAATTACATTTATAAATACTTCGTTTGGATTGATTATCCAAATCTTCTAGTTTTTCTCAAAGTTTATTAGATTAAATGGTAACCCATTTCATTAAGCGCATTATTATTATAAATCTTTTATTACATTGTTATTAATTAATTTAAGCATTTCTTTCTCTATTTCTTCAAGGAATAATTCTTGAAGTCTAACAGAGCAGTGATTAGCCAGAATCAATATTAAATAATATCTTTTTATCTAATTCTTTTGGATGTATCTGAATGTCGTGATTTGTAATTGTAAAAATATAGACTTAAAATGACTCTTGAAGAAATTTAAATTTAAAATAATGCTTCATACATTTAAAATTCCTTAAATTATAATTTTAGTCGACCGGACTGTATTTATCCTAAATATATAATACATCCATTTATTATTTCTGATCTGATGGTGATATTAAATAAAAACGCGCTAACTACTTGATTTTTGTTCAAATTATTGAGTAAATTTCGAGAAACTACCATTTTTAACTACCAATTTTTTTTTTAAAAGAAAACAGATGCTGTAATAAAACAACAAATAAACAATAACATTTTGATTTATATAGGTCTGCGGTCATTAACTTCACTAAATCTGTTACAAGCCTATAAATTCTTCGTTTACCACAAGTGAGGCATTATTTTAAACTTTACTCAAACTTTCGGAATATTTTAATAAAATATTCAATAATCCTTCAATATTATATATGTAGCTATGACATTTTAATCTCAATGTGTGTGTCTTTGAATACTTACAGGCCATTATTGGAACTAAAACTTAATTCATAAGAGATGACAAGTGAGGGGGGCGCGCTCGCGACAATAGACAATCTTTTGACTCGTTTTTCTATAATATTGTTACGCGCTGCGGTTCGGGATAAATAAATGTTCTACCAAAGTACAACTCAAAACTGTATTTATCACTTAGAACACACACAGAATACTATAAAATTCTCAATTCGCTTTTTCTGAATTACTGACTGCCTGCGTGCCATCTGTTTCATCTCGCTTTTATAGCCGATTCCACATCCCTACGATTATCGAGAATATCCCACATAAGTCGAGTATTGTGTATTTACGCTATCTGACAATAGATGGCGTTGTACTTCTCGAGCGTTCTAGATGTTACTAGATCCTTCGATATTCGTTCGGCTATTCGGCGATAGATGGCTTCACTCTTACCGGTGTAACAATACGTTTGTAGTTTGAAGAGCGTTCCGGGGTGCATACATCACGTTAATATTCGCGATGCTAATAGTAATTCTTTTCAAATTAAATAAGAGACTAAACACTCGATTGAAGTCTTCACAAAAAGTTTTAAGTTTAATCGGGAAATAAATACGATATGAGGATCACGATATTAAACGAGGCGTGTGGAGAGTATAATTGGTAGGCAACAACTTGGATGTGCCCCTGGCGTTGCTGACGTCCATGAGCGACGGTAACCACTTACCATCAGGTGGGCCGTATGCTCGTCTGGCTGCTAGGGCAATAAAAACAAATAAATAAAAAGTAACTAAATCGCCTCTGAAATTCTGCTGTGGAAGAACATGGAAACCCACCACTAGTAATTTTCCCAAGTAAACCTTTATGAATGAGTTCTAATATTAAGAAATGGAGGAATATAGTCTAATCAAAACTGCTCCGTAAAGGACACGACCCTTAGTACTGAGGAGCACGATGCAAGTAGGAGGAGAGTATTCATTTTAACACCAGAGTTTTTAGACGCGTCGAATGACACTTTTTGGCGATAAACTTGTTTTAACTGATGGAATGGTACGACGCGAGCCCGACCAACCAATGCCAATGGTACCAATGCACTCCGGCGTCTCAAGATGGCGGACGATGATCACTTCGTGACGTCACTGGACTCCGTCGTCATTTACCATCACACACTACCACTACAGCTCCGACGTAGACTTATACTGAGATTTGCTAAAATCATGTCATCTTTTATGAATTAATAATGTAATTAATATATTATATTCTGAATGATATCTGAATATACAATATCCAAATCATACAACGATTTCATAATTTAATTAGTCTAATATTTATGTTATCGTTTCGATTCGCTTAAAAAGCTACGACGAAGGCATCGTGTTTATGTATTTGACGTTTACATACTAATAAATAAATAATACATAATGCAATAAATACATCTAAATTATAATATTCACTACATCACCAATTAATACCGAGATGGATTATGTTTGATTGCGAAAATGCTTTGAATCTTTTCAATTAGAAAAATGTCGTTTTCAGAGAAATAGAGTTTGCTATGTTCTTTTTTTTTCGTAAATCGCCTTGAAACCGATTTAAGATTATGGTGAAATGTTGAAAATGTTAAATTCGAAAAGTCGAATAAATTAATATCCGATCTAATGTGTCTCTGATGTGTCGAAATTTTCTAGATAAAAAAGTTCGATTTAGAAATCTTGTCTGGCTTAAATATGCAGCGGTAGTAGTCATAGAACAGAAGATTTATATTTTAAAGATACTTGAATCGCGCTAACGAATTTTCAGGACATGTTTGGAAATGTACTAGTCCCGAACGATAACTTTTGGACCGTTAGTCTACCGAGTAAATTCACCCGTTCGCTGGAAGATTCGCGGTTTCGATCCGGTGGTAGATTCTGCGACGCACTGCTCTTGCTAGGGCTAGCGTTAGCAAATTCTCTCAGGTTGAGCCCGTGAGCTCACTTACCCGTCCTGGGGTAGCTGGAATAGCCCCTTAGGCTAACAAGTCCAGTGAATGGTAGGGAAAAAAACCGGAAAGAGTTTTAATTTCCCTCATACCTATTTTAAATAAGCAATTCGTACGCGTAATACAAGCGAATCGAAGCGATATCTGATAGTTTTTCGTAACACATTTATTTATTATAGATCCTTGTCGCATTATATAACTTAAAATATTCTTAATAATGTATTATGTATCCCTGCTCCATTAAAATGTAAATATTGTGAGATCCTTCAAAACTGTAAATAATATTTGTATCACTTTAATAAATATTTACATACATTGAAATAATGTTAAGAATGTGTATGTGTCGTGTAAATGTTCCTTTTTTTGTTTATCAAATTTTTACTAAATATATTATTAAAATTTGGTGTTTAGATGTAAAATTTTAAATCGTTTTCGTCATTCATAATCGCCAGTGTGATTGTGGCGGATTGATATACATAGATGTAGTAACAGATAAATAGAAGATCGTAACTTCTAGAATGTGCGATACAAATTGAACATTTGTGTACCTATCATCTATGACTGTATAACTATTATTCCAATAACATGTAGGCCAATGCTTCCAGTGCCACGTGAGTGTGACTCACACATCTGTCAGTGTGCTCACTAATACTCACGGCTGGCAGCTCGAGTTAATGTCAGCATAACACAGAGATACCTTTAAACTTTTTGATAATGATACATCTTAAAAATCCGTATCGAGTTTTTGTTTTTTCAACCGACTTCATTAAAATGTGAAGAGCTCTCATTTCGACTGTAATTTACGTTATGTTGTTACCCCAGATTTTTTTCTATGTGAACCGATTTTGAAGATTCTTTTTTTATTTCAAAGCTAGGTGCTTCTAATGTGGTCCCCTTTTAAATGTTATCAGGATCTGACTAGTTGTTTTTCAGTTTTCCCTAAACATTTAAACTGACTTCGTCTATATTGATGATATTCTGATTTTAGTTCGCTTAATTCCAATTTCTTTTCAGTTAAAATATTTTGTCAAGAGCACTTTTTTTTTAAATTGGAGATTATGAATGTTGAATCATTTATAGTATTACGGAAACAACTTACAATCCACAGATCCTTCACAGTGCATAACTTAATTCCTTGAGTTCGACTATATTTCATAAACGTCATAAGTGATTTCGAATTTGTGGCCATAAAGTCCGAGGAGGTTCGTGGAATATAAAGGGCATGATGGGACCGGATGTTTAGCGGATTTTTTTATTGAGCTTGTAGGCAGATGGGCATACGGCCCATCTGAGTGGTTTCCGTCGTCCATGGACCTCAGCAATACCAAGGACAGGGCCAAGCCGTTAAGTACTCTAGTACTAAAGAAAGTACGGATTGTAGATGAGGATGATATAAAAGGCACACTCGCTCCCGTCCCCACTGTTTTACATTACTCTAGACATCAAAGTCTTTGCAATTAAACATACAGCCACTAAATTCCGTGTAATAAAATACGCTATTAGAACGTTATAAAATAATAAACAGTTTTATTTAGCTGGTTATGATCTACGTTATTTACATTTACCAGACTCCACAACACGCCGAAGTGTCGGAAACGCATTGAATGTAAAAATTGTGTTCAAAACCGGTTAAAC